CACCGCTGACTCTTGACTTTGTCGGTGTGTAATGGCCTGGATCCCTGCCAACCTATTGGCTGCAAGGCCACCACTGTCAGGGCCCTGGGCCAGGATGTGTTGGAGTATGGAGGGCCCGTGTCCTCCTGCCTTTTGAGTGGCAGGTTCCCTCCTGTGGGGCAAAACCCCCTGCGCTCATTGGCTCTCCCAGAGTGAGGAGACCTGACCCCCTGCCTGGCTGGGACCCAGCTAGAGCTTTGATCGCTGGACAATTGGTGAGAGACACTTGTCACCCTGACTCAGGTCTGCACCTTAAACTGTGAACTGGTGACTATTTGTATTAACCCTGTGTCTGTCTGTCCGCCCGCCCTGACCCCGGGCTGTGCCTCACAAACTGTCACTCGGCCAAGGCATGCCTCATGGGCTTGTGGGCACTCTAGGGAGTCAGCGGTGCCCCACCCACTGACATAGGACCCTTTACACAAGTACATACCTAGAGAGAAGTAGTTTAATTTTCAAAAGCATTGAGCACCCCAGGAAGCCAAGGGGAATCACAGGCACTCGGCATCTTTGGCACACAGACTACTTCTAAGTGCCTCAAATTTAGCAGTTTATTTAGACATCCTGGCCTGACAATTTGAGCCATGGTGGATACAGTCTGTATTCTTAGAGTAGATTCTTTGTTTTATCTGTTTCTCCCTTCCCTTCAGGTCTCTAGTCTTCTGGGTGGGTGGGTGCGTGTCTCATGTTTGTACTCTCTTACAGCTGCAACTCCTACTGTTAATCCCCAGCTGATTTTCTTCAAAGAAATATTCATCCTGAATGTTGGACTCATTGCTCTCAGAGTATCGCAGCTGTGTGGTAATCTTTTTAATACGAAGAACCGATTGTGCTAAGACAGCTAGCCATAGTCTTCCCTTCTTCAGCCACATGCTCACCATATCTCTTGCTTTGCTCTCTGTAAGGTTATTATGCTATTGCCTTTTTCACACTGGATCTAACTGAGTCAGGTTGGGGGATGAATTATTTTTATATGTTTAATCCTTAAACAAGCAATAGCTTTCAACCAATCAGATGCCACCTTAGTTCTAAAAACTGCAGTTTCTACCTATGTCCTGTCAGGTCATTTCTGATAGGTTAGAACACAATGACCAAGTCCTGATCACTTAACTCATACAAGTGGCCTCATTATAGGCAATGGGCAAAATTCATCTTCTATGTTACTCCAGTGACTTTGAGGGTGTTACATTGGACCAAATTCATCCTCGATTAATGTATTTGGCCAGGAAAAGCAAGCCAAATCGTGTTCTGGTCCTAAAATCTGCCATTGAAATTCCTCAATTCAGCAAAGCACTTCTTCATATGCTTAACTTTAAATGCAGGAACAGACCCATTGACTTCAGTGAGATGACTCAGATGCCTGAAGTTAAGCATATGCTAAACTGCTTTTGCTGGATCAGGATCTCTGTCCATTAGACAGACCCTTTTCCACGATGGCAGAATACCAAAAAGTCACTCTTCTACAGGTTGAACCTCTCTAATCCGACGCACTCAGTATCTGACTGGTGCCAAACTAGAGACTTTGCCGAACAATGGGAGGTCAATATTGTCTAGCAGCATTATATTTATTTAAAATATTTTTACCTCGCCTCTCTATTTAAAATATTCAAGGCGGCTTATAAAATTTTTAAAACACACACAGACATATATAAAAGTAAAATACAGGACCCCAAAGGGGGAGGAACATAAAACCTGCTAAAACACCTCAAAAGGAGGGACACATACAGGTTGGGGGATGAATTATCAATAAAAGCATGGGTATAAAGTGTACCAACACTTCCACTGCTTACTGGGCTCTTAAAAGTCATTGAGATAAATTAGAGCTAAATAACTGCACAGAACACTGAGGCTGTCTACACTGCACAGTTATTTCGGAATAAACTATTCTGCAATAGTTATTCCGAAATAGCTTATTTCAAAATAGCACGTCTACACTACAGGGAAGCCTCAATTAGTCTGAGGCAGGCTTCCCTGATAGATGTGCTTTCTCAATTGAGAGCCTCAGGAGGAATAACTTAGAATGGCCCTGGTGAGGGGCTATTTCGAAATAGCAGCAGTGGAGCGTCTACATGCGCCTTATTTTGAAACAGCTATTTTGGAGTAGGCGTTATTTCTCGTAGAATGAGGTTTACAGAAGTCGCAATAAGCCATCTGTTATTTTGAAATAACAGAATTGCTGTATAGACGCTTGCATAGTTATTTCAGAATAATGTCCGTTATTGCAAAATAACTTTGCTTTGTAGACATACCCTGAAAGCAAGAACTGGTGGCTTTAAACAAACTGTATGGGCCCATCGGAAACTTGGCTACACCCATGATAAGTGGGCATCTAACTAAAATCATGCTGGACCACAACTGTTGCTGGAATAGAGGTTCAACCTGTATCTAGATCATATATAAAATCATCACATCCTAAATTAGTCAGCTGGAGTCAAATTTTGCCCTTGGTTATATCTTTGCAATTCTACTGACCTTTCTGGAAGAGCAGGGGTACAACTGCAGGCAGAATTGAATGCTTGGATTTAAATACACATTATTAGGTGATAGAATATATTTCAACTGGCAGCTAAGCGGTCTTCATCTTGGCATTTCGGTAGCCCATTTAATTTGCTAGGGGAAAATCATTAACTGTAATTCAGATCTTAACACTAATTATGTCAATGGCAAAACTACCTTCTAAAGGCTCTTTAATTAGAATCTGCATAATAAGCATTAACTTCTTGTAATATTAAAAGCACTTTATATAGAAGAACGATCCTGAATTTTTAAACATAAGGGGTTGGCTTGTTTCTTGATAAATGGACTATCAAAAATGTGCTCCCAGATCGCTGATTGCAAAGTTCACCACATCTCGGAGTGGAATAGCACTAAAAATGGATTAATTTTTATTCCTCACCTGACATTCAAAAGGTGTTTCACAATCTCTAGCAGTTGGTCTTTTTGTTGCTTGGTTTGCCATGACAACAAATATTTCATTACTCCAAACTGACCTATCTCAATAAAATGCACCATTATGATACAATGTAAAAAATGCTGGATTATGACAGAGTTCTCTATTAAAACAAAAAACAGCACTATGTAGCACTTTAAAGACTAACAAGATGGTTTATTAGGTGATGAGCTTTCGTGGGCCAGACCCACTTCCTCAGATCAAATAGTGGAAGAAAATTGGCATGACCATCATAAAGTTCTTTCACAATGAAAAAACAGTTTCTTGCCATTTCAACCAGAAAGGGCATTGTCTCAACGACTTGATTACCTGCATCCTGCTTCAAAGACATTTTAACACCAGACTTGAAAGAATCCTCTGAACTGTCATTCATGCTTAAATTTGACACTTTACGCCTAGATCTTAAAGACACTAATTCTTACCCATTACAAAGATAGCCTCCCCAATTATCACCTCTAATATCATTAGCTCTCGGACATTTACCTCCCCCCCTCCCCATCCCCTTTCTGTTCTGAAAGTTGATTTTTCCTTTTCATATTTGTTCTTTTTTTAAAAATTGTATCCTTTGGTATATGTGGTCATGCCAATTTTCTTCCACTATTTGATCTGAGGAAGTGGGTCTGGCCCACGAAAGCTCATCACCTAATAAACCATCTTGTTAGTCTTTAAAGTACTACATAGTCCTGTTTTTTGTTTCAGCTAGACCAGACTAACACGGCTACATTTCTTTCTCTATTCAAGACATACATTACAAATCTGAATCTGCCACCCTTGTTCTCTCAGCACAACTTTACTCATATGCAGAACTCTGAAGTTCACGGAGGTACCAGTGTGACTAGTCCTTATGTGAATGAGGATAGCAGAATCAGGCCCCAATCAAATCCTGTGCTAAGGGTAACATACCACCAAAAACAAGGGCTACACATGTTTTGCTTTATTCACAATATATAATTATTTAAGCTACAGAAAGTCTACCTTAAAAAAAAAAAGTCACCTAACTTGTATGATAAAGGGCCTGATCCAAAGCTCATTGAAGTCAACAGAAAAGATCCCCATTAACTTGTATGGTCTTTAGATGTGATCCACTGAATAGAAACCACTTACAGGTCTGGTCCTGTGCCTATTAAAGACAAGGGCAATACTCCATTGATTCTAATGTGTGCAGGATCAAACTCAAGGTGAATTTTGCTGTAAAGTCTTTTTACACTGCAGTAGAATGAAAGTCCGGAATTGGACTCGAACCTCCAGTTAGATATCCTGAACTCAGTGAAGACATCCATCAACTTCAATGGGAATAATTTCTGACCCCTAAAGAACAGGGACTTGACCCTGCTCTCTCTGAAGTCAATGACAAAAGTCCTTAGGAGTTCAGCGGTACAGGATCAGGTCCCATCTGTCTGAAGTGAAATTATTCTAAGAGGAAAACAGGGTTGTAAAAAGGTAACTGGTTACTCACTAACCAGTTAACTGCAGGTGTGAGACTGCACCAGCATAGCCAGGCCCACTGCACCATGCTGCATGGTTAACCATACAGTTCCACTGGTGAACATTTTAAATGGTATTTTACATCCCTAGAAGGTAATTGACTTAATGATGGAGAATAATACATAAGCTTTCTACTAGACAGTTTTTGGATTTCAGACCAAATAGGATGAAAGAGTTTTATAATTTTGCATAGTAGGTGGCCTGACTCCCAGTCCAACACACTTAACAGTAAGGACTGGTACAACCAATTAGGCATCATTAATGAAAACTAGTGTGTTTCACAGGCTTGTTTTAGCCAGTAGTTGAAGGGAAGTGGGCAGCTCTCACTGTAACAGGAACACAACCTTGTTTGGTCTAGAAAGCATTTTTTAAAAACAATATTGTGTCAGGAAAAGCGATTGGACAGGACCGTATCATTAATAGGATCCATGTTTCAGAGCAAAATAAACTTTGTTCTTTTCATTCTAGTTGGGTATCCCATCAGAAGCTAGACAGAAACGCTGTACATGCGCTGCTTGTGATGCAATGACATTTATTGCACATAGACCGATTACTCCCACAGTAGTAAATTGCACCAGAGTATAAATACATTATAAAACACACAAGAGGAAAATGGAAATAACACACGGGTGATAAAATAACAGCAGATTCACACGGGCAGTTGGACGTAAAAATAAAAATACCCTTAAGATACTTTAATTTAGAATATAGATACATTTACAGTACCTTGATAAAATATTTAAAATAACTCTCTCAGTAAAATTGTAACATAGCAGACAAGAACTGAAATAGATTTAGGATTTGATGTTATTTTAGCCTTGTTTTATTTGTAACTCGATTTTTTGTGTGTGCAAGTAACATTCAATTCACTTTGCAATTCTCAACACTGTGCAAAAAAAAAAAAAAAAAACCACCCCGGTTGCTGCTGCTTTTTTTTAAATGTGCAGTAATTTTAAAAAAGGAAGTTACACAAGGAATTCATTTTTACTTTTCATCTTTAACTACAAAGACCAAACTGCAAAAGGCTCAATGTCTGGGGTGGGATTTTTTTTATATAAAATACTAATAGTGATACATAAATAAGCTGTTTAATATAAACACGTCTTGTTTCCGCTGTACAATATGCACAGTTTGAGGTAGAAGTTTCTCAGCCTGGTTGCTGTTGTCTGGCAAGGGAAGATAAGTACAAAAACCACTAGTTTGCTGGTTCAGAAGAAAAAAGCAGGAGAGGTTTGTGCAAAATACAAGTATATTAATGTTCAATGTGATTTATTTATTCATATCCACCTTGGATAACGGGAGAGCCCAGCTACCAAGAGCTTCAAATACAACTTGCCAGATCACAAATACACTTTCAAAAGGGACTTTCAGTTCAATTTGTAAAAAAAATAAAAAAATGCTGAGTCCCTGGAGTCCTCAGGGACTTTAATGAGATTTTTCGGCAGTCGGTGCTTATTAAAAGCAGGCTCTTTTCCTCTGTATGAGGCTAAGTGGAGCTCCCAGGAGCAGGGACGGGACAGCTGATAGTTCTAAACTTTGAAGCAAGGTTAGTAACGGATCGATGCTGCCTACACTGATGGCCACAGCAAATTCCCAATACTTCCATGCCTCAGCATCAGTTCCCCTCCCCCCGCAAGTGTAGCTCTCAGAAAAACTGAACCTATATTCTTACCTCCTTTTGAAATTATTTCCCCCTAACCACCAACCTTTAGCTCTTCACAAAAAGAGAATAATCATCCAAATGGGTTTGAGAGTCGGTTAATTTCCTTTGTTCAGTGGTCAGTGGCCTCCCATTTGCTTTTACTTCAGATGAGGTATGCTGCATACACATTCACCTGCTTTTAGTTCTAGGTGAACACAGTCTCTCTCAGCTGAGAGAGATCAGTTTGGTTCGGTGTTTATTAACCAGACTCTTGGTAGTTTTGTCTTTTTGCTCCTGTTCATTTCCCTGCCAGTCTTTCTTTATGCTCTGTGTCCAGCGCACGCATCCCTCTGCCCCACTCCCCAACTCAAAACAACCCCTCTCCCTATACCTTGGATTCTGAATAGGAAGTTTTGCTATTCCTCTCCTCCAGACTTGAGTCACTGCCTCCCTGCGTACCTCCATTGCATTCAGACCACGTCCCTCCCAGGCTGCGCTCGGGGGTGCCCAAAGTATTGATAAAGTTCCCTGCATATCGGGAGAGCTCCCCAGAACTGGCGTGCAGCCTCCTGTCAGCTTTCCTGGGGCAGCAGAGCAGCCTCTTGAAGGCCTTGCGGAAGTCGGGGCTGCGGCAGTAGATGATGGGGTTGAACGCCGAATTGGCATAGCCCAGCCAATTGAAAAAGACGAAGAGCTGGTCTGGCACCAGGTTCCTGTTGAAGACCTTAACCACGTTGACCAGGAAGAAGGGGAGCCAGCAGAGGGTGAAAACCCCCATAATGATGCCCAAGGTCTTGAGGGCTTTTTGCTCCTTCAAGGCCAAGATCTTGGAGGTCCTTCTCCTGCTGGTTCGGCCATTGCCCAGGATGGGCAGGTGGTGGGGTTGGGATTGAGACTGGGCATGAGGCTGGGGGTGGCTGCAGTAGAACCTGCCTTCGCACTTGTCTATCTTCCTCATCTGCTCCTTGGCCTCCCGGTAGACTCTGATGTACACGAAGATCATGATGAGGAGGGGAATGTAGAAGGAGATAACGGAGGAGGCGATGGCATAGGCCCTGTTGGTGACAAAGTCACAGCAGCCGGGGTCCTGGTAGCAATCCAGAGCTTGAGGATCACGATCCCGCCACCAATGCATCATGATGGGCAGGAAGGAGACCAGGGCGGAGATGGCCCAGACCGTGCAGACGATTCCCTTGGCCCGGCCCTTGGTCATGAGGCTCTGGTAGCGGAACGGCGAGGTGATGGCCAGGTAGCGATCGATGGCGATGACGCACAGGGTCTCGATGCTGGCCGTCACGCACAGCACATCCACCGAGGTCCAGCACTCGCACAGGAAGGAGCCCCAGAGCCAGCGGCCCCGCACCACCAGCGTGGCCCCGAAGGGCACCACCAGCGAGCCCATCACCAGGTCGGCGCAGGCCAGCGAGGTGATGAAGAGGTTGGTGAGGGTCTGCAGCCGCTGCGTGCGCCCGATGGCCGCGATCACCAGCCCGTTGCCCACCACGATGAGCAGCACCATCAGGGCCAGCAGCAGCCCCATGCTCACCGCCCACTGGTGGGACAGCTGCTCCCCGAGCAGGTGCCGGCTGCCCGGCAGGGTGGGCGCGCTGCT